TGCTGACAGCCCGTGTTCCCGTGCACTCTGAATTACCGCATTGTGGCTGTTCTTAGCTCTGTTAACTTCTCATACACGTTTTTTATTTGATCCGCAAAAGTATTTTTTTGTGGTTCTATTTATGGACTTGGCTATGCATACCTCTTTAGGGAGGTTAGAAGTTTCTGGTTTGCTTATAGAATGAGCACAGGTAGTACTCCAAGCAGAAATTGAATCTAGAGAACATGCAAGGTTGTGTTCAGGAAGGGTCTGCAGGCTTCTGGGACAGTTTATGGCTTTGGGTCCACAAACATGGCCCAAAATGATTGAAATATAAAGTACTTGAAGAACACCGTCTTAAATGGTTAGTCGTGACTAAGACATGGCAGCAGGGCAGGGTTATCCTTCAGAACTCCTTTCACCTTCTCATCTGTCCAGCCTAAGGCGTGCTCACTCACTGAGAAGTGTCCCACTGCCTGTCCTTGCCAGACCATCATCGACGCCATCCGGCCATACTGCAAGGAGGGGGAGGACGTCTGGAGGGCCTCGCGCTTCAGGGTCGTCATCACCACATGCAGCAGCGCGGGACTGTTCTACCAGATTGGAGTGAGGTGAGGCTCGCAGTCCCCCGGGACAGATGTCTGAGGGAGGTGGCCAGCAGAGTGGTGTGGGGAGGGGCCCCAGGGCTGGAGGGGCCCACTGGGCTGGGCCAAGGAAGTGGCATTTGTGCTGAGACCTCAAAGACTCAGGACCCCACAGCAGGACGTGGGATGGACAGCCCCCCACACGCTGGCTATGGGTGCACAGCCGCAAGCATGGTCACCCAGAGGAGCCCGAGTCCAGCAGGCGAGGGAAGCGGTGGAGAGGGCCCTGACGCAGAGCCTGGCCCCGGACTTTGTGGGCTGCCAAAGGCATCTGGTCAGGACCCTGGCTGTCACTGGGGAAGACACGGAAAGTTTTTTGAGTACGGAGTGTGATCAGAGACCCGGGGGAAGCAGACTGGCCAGTGAACGGCCACCTCAGGAAGGCCAGGCCGGTGGGGGCCACATGTGCCACTGTTTTCAGCCTGCCAGGGTGGGTGGGGGTGGCGCGTCCATGACCCTCAGAGAGAGCCTCACCTCACCCTCCCCGGCCAGTCTAGAGACAGAGACCTCGCAGCAGTCAGGGATGGCCTCAGCCACGCATGCTCTGGCCTGCCTCTGCCGTGGGCTCCAAGTGCTGCACGGCCCAGAAGCCAGAGCACCATGCAGCCCTGCACTGCCACCCACGTGGGAGGGATTTTGTGCGTGTCTCTGAGTCTCTCTCATACTTAGAGAGCACCGTTTGTCGTGTGATGGGTATAAGATGTATCAGTGGGACTTTTTCTCTTTCTTGGTTCAAGTCTTCAAAGTCTGCCCTGTGGTTCACACCGAGAACACGGCCTCCTTCATGCCAGCCCCACGAAGCGCCTAGAGCGACACGTGGCAGCGGCTAGTGGCTGGGGAGCACAGGCCTCAGCCAGAGCAATGGACTTTTTGTTAATGGGGTCACTGAATCTACGGTCTGGGGAAACTCCTCCCAGCAAGACCAGACCCAGCCTCTCACATTTGGGAGCAGAGCACACCCCCTGGTCCCGGGACAAGGAGGAAAAGGGCCGCTTGTCAGGCAGGGCTCCAGGACGAGGCCAGGGCGGCGCAGGGGTAGCTGTCAGGGACCCGGAGTGCAGCAGCACCCGTGATCCCTGTAGCACACGTGCCCGAGAGGAGCCCCGCCAACCCCGATCCCGCCGACAGAGGGCCTTGTCCTACTCCCACCTGCACCTCCTCTGAGACCCCTGGCAGTGACGTGTCACCTCACACTCCCACACTCCTCCTCACGCTCAGCCAGGAGAGCTTGTCTGGCCACTGCTGCATGAGGGTGGCAGGCTCCCACTTCCCGCCCCCGGGGGTTCCCTGAGGCCAGGTCCCACCACGCCCACTGGGTGGCAAGATGAAGCACAGGGACGTCAGCTCCTCTGGTGGGGACACGTGCTCTGCTGGCCAGGGGCACGGGCATGAGATGGGCACGGGCAGCGTGGTCTGGGGGTACAGATACACGCAGCACAGGGCAGACAGGCTGCGATGCACACCTCGGGGTGGGAGGAAGGCCAGCCGCCTGAGAGGCCTTCCCAGCAGGTCACATCTGTTCAGGTGCTCGCCAGGTGGGGGTGAAGGAGTGAGCATCCCAGGGTCCCGGGGAGAGGGCACCCCAGCTGATGGAAGCCCAGGAGGCCCCAGCAAGGAGCAGCACACTCCAGTCAAAGCCCTAACCTCGTGGCGCAGAGTGGGGACCTGTGCGCAGCCAGGCTCCAGCTCACCCCCTCGGCAGGGCTGGGATGAGGCAGTGTCCACACTGCTGCCCGTGGCTCTCGCCGTGCAGGAGACAGTGTGGAGCTCAAGGTTTGCAAATGCAGGCCCACAATTAAAGACGACACTAATTGTAAGAGGACAGGCTGGCAAAGGGTCCCATCTTGCTATGGGCCACAGAAGGCTTGGCGATGACAGAATTTGTCCAGGTCCTGGGAGGCGGGAGCCCAGGCCCAGGCCCAGGCCCAGGCCCAGGCGAAGCGCCAAGGTCTGTCTTGGTGGAGCACATCCGTGGCTCCCATGTCCTCGTGCCTCAAGCCTGTTCCCTTGGGTGTGGGAGTGAGGGTGGGCAAGAGGGCTGAGCCGTTACCACCCTGAGGTCCCAGGCCCTTGGTCTGTTGGGGGCAGGTGGAGAGCAGTCCCTGTGGGTGAATCAAGAGGCACTGAGTCGGGGGAGGGAGCGGCTTCCGCTTGTGACTAGCCCTCACGGTGCTGCCCCTGACCATCTCGCCGCCCCACGGCAGCCACTTCCCGCCCAACACGGAGCGGGCAAGAGCAGTAAGGCAGCTTGTGTGAGGTGCGCGGCCAGAAGGGGGGAGGGCGGGCCCCACGCCAGGGGGGG